ACCGACACTGATATTGGGTCATCACTGTCGGTTTTTGGCTAAAACCGACAATGATAGTATCAGTGTCAGTTTTAGCCTAGAACCGACAGTGATATCGGGTCATCATATGCTGCAAGAAAACTTCATAACTTTCTAATATGATGTCTGATGAAGATGAACTTTATACCAAAGTTGTAGTACTCGACGAGATCTACAACTTTGTAGTTCAAACTTTTTAATTTGAAGTTGTTATGATGTCACTCTATTTGATTCGCAAGATTTCATAGAAGTTAATACCAACTAAAGGCATATGTTCCATAGTCATAAGTGAGTGTGTCATGGTATTTGATAATCTAGTATGGAGAAGCAACCAAAACAAAAGTTGTAGATATCAAAAAGTTATGCAACTTTGTAATTGACAACTTTTCCATTTGAAACCATCTATCTAACAGAAATTACATTTGATTTCTCAAATTTAAAATTTGAATTTTTCAAATGACCTCGGATGGAGAAACACCCAAAACAAAAGTTGTAGATCTCAAAACGTTGTGCAACTTTACAGTTGACAACTTTTTCATTAGAAATCATTTATCTAAGGAAAATTACAATTGAATTTTTCTACATTTGAAATTCAAATTCTTCAAATGACCTCGGATGGAGAAATGATCAAAACCAAAATTATAGATCTCGAAAGTTATAAAACTTTATAGTTGACAACTTTTTTATTTGAAATCGTTTAGGGTCCCAAATACTCATTTCAAAATCAGATGAACATAAAATGGTTAGAATGAATATCTCATTTGGACATAAGCGTCCTACAAGTGGAGTGGTTAGGGAACAAACACACGAAACAGGGGTCGGGGGGTTTGAGTTCTGGTGGCTACGAAGCACGTGCTTTTCGTGCAAAAAGTCACATGACTTGTGACGCACGACCGTGTGACTATCTAGTAGGGTCTCTCCCAGTATTATTTTTTTCTATTTTTTCAGTCCATTTTGGGGTTTTCTAGAAACCACATCACTGTCGGTTCGTAAGAACCGACACTGATGTGAACCCTAAAAGGTCCTAATGGCTAGAAGGGGTGAATAGCCTATTGAAAATTTCTACACCAATACTTAAGCCAAGATGTTAGATAATTAAATGGCGAAGCGAGTATTGCGCTAGCTTACTAAAAATGCAAGCATCCTATCCATAATTCTAGTTATCTATGATCTCTATATCACACAAGAGGCTAAGTCATTACCACTAAGTTAGTGAGCTCTCAAAGACTAACTAAAGAGCCTCACTAACCACTAAACAAGACACAACCTAGCTCTCAAAACTAATTACACTAAAAAGCTTAGCTACACTAGGAGTGTAAATATAAGAGAGGTAGGAGGATTATACCACCATGGCAAGAGATGATTAATCAATCAATCACAATGAATACCAATGAAATCATCGGAGACAAGATGATACGATGATTTTTCACTGAGGTTCACTTCTTGCCGGCAAGCTAGTCCCCATTGTGGTGATTCACTCACTTGGAGGTTCACGCACTAATAGGCATCACACGCCTAACCCGTAATCGGGTGCCGCACAACCAACACAAGATGAGAATTATATAAGCCACGAGCAATCCACTAGAGTACCTTTTGGTTCTTCAGTCGGGGAAAGGTCAAAAAACCCCTCACAATCACCACGATCGGAGCCAGAGACAATCACCTTTCTCCTCTCGATGATCCTCGCTGCACCAAGCCATTTTGGTGGGGCAACCACCAAGGAAAACAAGCGAATCCCGTAGCGAAACACAATCAACAAGTGCCTCTAGATGCAATCACTCAAGCAATGCATTTGGATTCACTCTCAATCTATAAATATGATGAATCAATGATGGAGATGAGTGAGAGGGCTTTGGCTTAGCTCATTAGATTGCTATGTCAATGAAAATGGCCAAGAGAGTGAGCAAGAGCCGGCCAACATGTTTATAGAGCCCCAACTGACCACATAGCCGTTGGGCTCAAAACTCAGCTGATGCGGGCTGACCAGATGCGCCGGTCCGGTCACGCATCCGCAGCCACGTGTCGCCTCCTTTAAACGAGAGACGCTGATATCCAACGACTAACTTGAACGCGCTCGACTGTTAAGTCGTGATCGGACGCACTGAGCCAGGACCTGACGCGGCTGTCCAGCGTCCGCTCGCGCGCTCCCACGCTATCTGCGCGATGCAACCTGATGCATTGAAGTCAGCACCTAATGCCGCGCTGCCTCGCGTCCGGTCGGTTTTAGTAAGGTTCTAGAGCCGCATTTCTGCGACCGGACACGTCCGAAGGAGCATGGCTGGACTCAGGGCCGAGTCCGATCCTCTCTACCTAGCGTAGATGCTCATGTCAGCATACATCACCACCTGACCGGACGCACCCCTGCGCGTCCGATCGCCTCCTCGTGCCAGCGTCCGACCGAAGGCCGAAGCCGTGCCACTGCTACACCACTGACCGGACGCACCGATCCAGTGTCCGGTCCAGCATCCGGTCACTATAAACAGTGCCTTCTCAACTGCAACTTCGCCACCCTAGATCAAATGTGCCAACTACCAAGTGTATCACCTTGTGCACGTATGTTAGCATATTTTTCACAAACATTTTTAAGGGTGTTAGCACTCACTAAAATCTAAATGAATATGCAATGAGTGAGAACATCTAGTGGCACTTTGATAATCGTATTTCGATACGAGTTTTACCCCTCTTAATAGTACGGCTATATATCATAAATGTGATCACACTCATTAGGTGTCTTGATAAAAAAACAAAAGGCTCCTATGGATATCACCTTTGCCTTGAGCTTTTTGTTTTTCTTTCTTCTTTTCCAAGCCCGAGCACTTGGTCGCCATGGCCATCACTACCTTCATGATCTTCATCCATTTGCTCCACCACTTGGAATGTGCTACCCTATCTCATATTCACTTAGAGCAAAAGAGTTAGCACTTAGGGTTTCATCATTCACCAAAATCAAACTAGAGCTTTCAACCCCCCATCACTGCCGGTTTGCTTGTGTCGGTTCAAAATCCTATAGTGTAGGGGGGTTTGAACCAACACTAATTTGAAGATCTAGGGTAGTGAGTGATTACGTGTTCTGACATAGTTTAGATGAGGCTTACCTTGCATTATATGTTGTGCTCCTTTACCATCAATTAATGATGTAGGAATAACCTAACACATGTTTTTGTTTGAGCTGGAAGCATGGAAGATCGAGCAGAACATTTTCTGCTTTTACTTTGGATCATTTAAGGGCCCTAAGGAAAATTGACTTAGGCATACGCAAAACCTAAATCAATCTTACTATATAATTCCATATAAAAAATCAAAATTCAGATTTCAGTCATTGAACAAATAGACAAGTACAGGAAGCATTGCTTATGGAGAGGAGCAGATCTTGACTCAAGAAAACCAGCTAAAGCAGCCTGGCCATTGGTATGTAGATCGAAAGATGAAGGGTGTTTAGGGGTGCTAAATCTTAGAAGACAAAATGAGGCTCTCCTTCTGAAGTTTCTACACAAATTCATGAATCTAGAAGACATCCCTTGGGTCAACCTTATTTGGGAAACCTACTATCAAGATGGCAAGCTTCCTGGAGATACCATCAGAGGGTCATTTTGGTGGAGAGATATTACCAAGCTATTGAATGATTTTAAAGGAATGGCTTTGATCACTGTTTCATATGGAAGAACCTGTGTCCTCTAGCAAGATCTTTGGAATGGCCGGGTCCCCCTGTTTACCTATCCAGAACTCTTTTCCTTTTCAAAGAAGAAGAACTTAACTCTGGCAGATGCTAAGTCAAGCAATGACATCTCTACCCTGTTTCATCTCCCGCTATCAGAGGAAGCCTACTCCCAGTATCTACAAGTACAGGACTCATTAGATGAAGTGCAACTGAATGAAAATCTGGACAGATGGGCTTATATTTGGGGATCTAACCTTTTCTCATCTGCTAAAGCCAATAAACAACTAAGTGGAAGAAGCTTGGCTCATCCTATTTATCGGTGGTTATGGAAAAGTTCTTGTCAGAATAAGCACAGAATTTTCTTTTGGTTACTGGTTAAGGACAGGGTAAGCACAAGAGGCCTACTAAGAAGAAGAATGATGGAGCTAGAGGATTACAGCTGTGTGCTTTGTGATGGACAAATAGAGGAGACTTTGGAGCACCTCTTTCTTTAATGCCCTTTTGCGGCTGAATGTTGGAGCTATTTAAATCTAGTGATAACTCAAACTGAAGATCTGATGGAAATTATTCAGCAACTGAAGGTACAACTGAACCAACCCTTCTTCATGGAAGTCATAATCTTGCAACTTTGGGCAATTTGGATGACCAGGAATAACAAGATTTTCAAAGACATTCCTTCTTCAGTTCAAGGCTGCAAACAGCTCTTCTGTGTGGAACTAGATGATCTGATTCACAGAATCAAGAGAAAATACTTAATCAAATTTCAAGAATGGAAAGCAAGATACTTTTGAGAGTTATTTGGGTGCCAATCTCTATCTTTCTTTTCCTCTCGTTTTTTAGTCCCCTAGGCCTCTTCTTTTCTTCAACCTTTTAGTTTTTTTGCAGCTTTGGCTGCCCTTTATTTTTTATCTTTGTACTTCTTATCATTTTCAATATATTTCAGTAGGGGCCTAAAACCCCTCCAGTTTCTTCAAAAAGCACAAATCTAGAAGCACATCCAAGGGCCAAAGTGACTTACACAAACTATATGTCGCCTTACAAGTAGCTTATCTAATCTAATTATATAATGGAGTGCTAGTACTAAAATCAACAAGACATACATTTTGTTTAGCTGGATCGTTGCTTGTCGATGAATGTGGTCCACACGTGGTTGCACCACAAGGAACCTCAGTTCGCTGTACAGAGAATTAATGCATGCAATCCATAAATATTTAAATATTAAAGAGACTACTATATATATTATGGTATGTTGATCGATGGAAGAAGCCTGCAGAGTCTCAGACTCTTGGCTACTAGAAGGTACTTTTTTTGTTTTGGCGAGCAACTAGAAGGTACAATTGACGGGTGCAGTAACACTATCCCTGAAATCCACAGGATAGCAGGACGCCCTGATGGTGTACTGTCTTGTGGTGACCAGCCTGAACCTAAACCACACCTTGGCCTCCACCACCACCTTGCAGTTGGGCCAGGTGATATTGATGCCGCTGCTGTCCTTGTCTGTGTCCAGCTGCCCGCCATTGTTGGTCGCCCCGACCTCGTTGAACTCCAAGTATTGAGCCGAGATGGTGAAGTTGGTCGCGTTCCCCGGCTGCTGGCACACGGCGGCGGTCATATTGGCCTCAGCCGGGACCCAACCCGTAGGGCTGTACCATATCTGGACGCTCAGGGAGCCATACCGCACCGCCGGGCGCGAGCTGATGTTGTTGCTAGCCACCACGGTGAAGTTGTAGTACATGTTGTTGTCGGGTGTGGCGTTGGTTAGCGCCCCGCCGCTCGCGATGGAGAAGGAGATGTGCGCAGGGGCGAGGCTGATGGAGATGCCCGCGACCACGGCGAGCGTGGCCAGCATCCCCAGCAGAGCTGCGAGGATGTATTTCTTGGCGCTCCACCTCCAGCTGGTGCGAGAAGCAGGGGTCTTCGCCGTATACATAATAATACCGTAATAAACAAGCGGGGGACTAATTTAAGAGTTTTGGAGCAATGACGACACACTAGGCGATAGGAGTTGCTTGCTAGCTAGCCGGAACCGGCATGTGGCATATATATACATATATATAGGTCCCGTTTGTTATTGCTCGGCTTCACTTCACTAGTGAAACTATTTTTTTTAAAATAGCTTCATTAGCAGCTATCTCGGTGAAGCTAAACTGTTTCAAAAAAATTATTTAGCAAAAACAGCTTCATCCAAGAGACAAAAGGAAAAAAAATAACTTTAATACCCCTGTTTTTCTTTTTTCTATTTTTTCTCATGGCTCTCTTGGTTTTTCTCCGTACGGCCCTTTGTTTTTTCTTCCGTATATCTGTTAAATAATCTACTACTTACTTGTATGAACACACGGCAGGAGAAGACGGCGTCGAAAAGGTACCCTGCTCTCTGATCTTAGAGCTACAGCAGAAAGCGCCGAATGGCTCACCCCCGCCAGATCAGAAGCAGCAGCGAGGCGCGTACGTCAAGTCGATCCTGTTGTCACATCTAATTCTCAGAGCGATATGACAGTTATACTAGAACTAGATGGATAGAGTTGTATAAATAGTTTGCCACTGCATAAAGAGCGAGTTCAGTTTTGTCATCTCCTATGTAGAGCTTCGGCCAACGCTGGTGTTTCTACTGTGTGTGTGTATGCTCTGTTCTTTTTCCCTTCTTCTACCTCTAGCCATAGTGTGTGGTCGGACAACGTTTGTCGTGGTAGGCAACGGAGGTGAATGGTCGACTCACCCGTGCCGGTGATCCAGTGGGCCAAAAAGTGGTATCGGAGCCGTACAAGCGCCGTCACCGGATTAACCGCTGGCGATGACGGACGGTTTGGAAATGGGCGACAGTAGTGGCACTGTTGTGGCTACCCAGCCACGACAGGAGGTCGTTGTGTGCACAGTGCGGGAGGTCAGAGGCACCAGTTGGCCAACGCTGACTTACACCAACTATGGAGAGTGGTCGGTGACCATGAAGGTCAAGCTCAGAGCCCGATGGCTCTGGAATGCTATTGACAAGGGCACCGACAATGAAGAAGATAACATGTCAGCGCTGGAGGCTATCATCGCTGCTGTATCGGTGGAGTATAGGGAGCCGTTGAGGGCAAAAAACTCTGCTAAGGAGGCGTGAGAGGCCATTGCAGCGATGTGTGTCGGTTTCGACCGCGCAAAGAAGGCGACGGCCCAGCTTCTAAAGCAGGAGTACGCCAACCTTAAGTTCAAGGATGGTGAATCGGTGGAGGACTTCTCCCTCCACCTGTAGACACTCATCAGCAAGCTGAAGAGCCATGACGTCACCATCGACAAAGAGGAGGCGGTCTCCAAGTGCCTCCACTCCGTACCAGCAAAGTACATCCAGATCACTCTCTCCATAGAGACGATGCTGGACTTGTCCACCTTCACCATTGAGGACGCGACAGGCTGTCTACGGGCGATGGACGAGCGCCTGGAGCAGGCGATAGCAACGAAGGACAGCGGCAAACTGCTGCTGACAGAGGAAGAGTGGGCTGCTCGGAGGAACTCCGGGGTAGCCTCCTCCAGCCGTGGTGGCGATGGCAAGCCCCGCGGCAAGGCTTCTTCGGTGAAGAAGAAGCAGGTCGACCCCAACGCCTGCCGACACTGCAGAAAGACGGTCCATTGGGCACGGGAGTGCTCAAATCGCAAGCAGGAGAAGAAGGCTGAAGCTCATCTGGCGCAAGCTGATGATGACGATGAGGCTACTATCCTGATGGCGACGTTCAGTGCACTGCACGACGTCAATGCCGAGGAGAAGGGAGATGTGATGGCGGCAGAAGGGCCTGGGAAGGCTCTGAAGGCTGTCAACATCGATGAACCGCGCGCCTAAGTCCACCTCGGACGTGTGCGCGGCGAGTAGGAGCAGCGGTGGTATCTGGAGTCTGGCACTAGCAACCACATGACGGGCTCCAAGGCAGCCTTCTCTGAGCTCTACAACGATGTGACCACACTACTACAGAATGGACTTGTTGTCCCGGGCGGTAACGGCCTTTAGTCCCGGTTACCACGCCGGGACAACGATCCCGGGACTAAAGGTGCCACCTTTAGTCTTGGGTCATCGAGCCAGGACTAAAGAGGGACCTTTAGTCCCGGTTGGTGTCACCAACCGGGACTAAAGGCCCTCCAGCCGAGCAAACGTGGCCGCACCCTTTAGTCCCGGTTGGTAACCTCAACCGGGACTAAAGGTTCTTTTTCTTTTTCTTTTTGTTTAATTTGTTTTCAGTTCAGTTACACGTGTTTATTTAATATATAATATGTTTTTATA